TGCCAGGATGGATCATTTGCAACTTCCTTGGGCAACCCATTCCAGTGCCTAATCCCCCTTACAGTAAAGAACTTCTTCCTTAGGCATAATCTAAACTTCCCCTGTTTAAGTCTGAACCTGTTACCCCTTGTCCTATCACTATAGTCCCTAGTGAAGAGTCAATAAAGTATTTATTTTCCCTTCAGTGGATTGTTGCATTACAAATCTATGACATTATTTCCCATAGCAATAGGTTCAAAGGTTTTAAATCATGCAACTGTCCTTTCCTGCCCTTAGTTGCAATTCTTTCCATGGAATTGCCCTTTAAAAAGATACATCCTAAGGAGATAGATCTACAAAGCTAACTGTAATGTCAGTTGTGTCTTCCAGTGTTCCTTTCTGGCTTTCAGAGATTGCTCAGAGTTATCTCCTTTGCCTTGCTTTGTATTGTAATAAAGAGCAGCATGTGCTGATTTTCACTTTTACATTCCTTCTTGATGAGGTCAAGAGAAAGACCAACTCTAGTAGTCAGGCATCATCACAGGAGCTGGGCTCAGGCTGATGCAGGGTAAGCCACTTAGTGCTGGATTCACAACATAGTTCTTGCATCACTGACTGTGATAGTGTCTATCAGGTGCTGGGGTTTACTGAGGCACAGAAGTCACAAACACAGGTTATACACCTCAGGGGACAGTGCAAGGGGAGATGCTCAGGAACGGGTTTCATAAAAGCTAGCCTGCTAAATCAGGCTGCCAATGTGAGAAGTAGAGGAAAAGCAGGAAGAGAGGACCGATAGCAACAAAGGAACCCTAATATGGGTAAAATCCTTTCTGATAAATAAAATCATTTCTGCTAAAATCATTTCTGATCTTGCAGTAAAAACTCTTCCACAAGCCTTGGGAAGGAAAGGAATTATTGTGTTCTTACCTTATCATGAGAAGACTTCAAATATGCCATCTCCCACTTTGCAACTAGCCACCATGTACTGGGTCATGCAGTTTCCTCTGTCAGGGGCTCTGCTTTTTCTCCATTTGATAAATGGCCATAGCAGCACTTCGCTGTTCAACAAAGATGTCTTCTAAATCACACATCAAAGATGCAGTGCTGAGTAATAGCAGCCTTAGGAGTATGGGTAGACAGACCTTCCCCTGTGTTAGGAGAACTGTGAAGCTAGAAGAGGCTGGAAAACAAACTTCACTACTACAGATGCATCTAGTACCATGTCAAGAGCTAGGTAACCTGTGAACCATGTTGACACTGGGAAGTGGCTCTGTCAAGGAGACAGAGTAGGTCCCTCAGTAAGACCTAAAGAAGAGGAAGAGGGGAAGAGGAAAAGAGGAAGAAAAGAAGAGGAAAAGAGGAAGAGAATTCAAGGCAAGGGAAAAGGCAAGGGAAAACAAGGAAAGGCAAAGGAAAAGAAAGGCAAGGGAAAAGAAAAAAGTCTGAACTGCAGCAATTATCACAATTCCTGTAGTGTTTTGTGTAGAACAAAAGCCATGAGGGAGATGACGTTTAAGGGATTTCAGCACAGAGACCCACTGAAAGACATCTTTTTGATCTGTGTCATTGGGGCTGCTTCCATGTTTCAGTACAACTAGTAGGGTGTCTGTGATTGCTCCTCTCTGTACAATCTCAAGCTCTGATTACTTGTTTTTCTGTATTTGGTGGGTGGATATTCACCTGTCACTTTTCTCCTTCCTTCCCTAGGCTGCCTTTCAACACCTCCTGCTCTCTAAAATTATCTGGTCTCTGAATGTCTGTGTTTGGATATCAGATCACCTTCTACTGTCTGTGGCTGCTTTACTGCCTAGCAGAATATTGATTTTTCTTTTGCAAAACACACTGGAGGAGGAGAGGTGCAGAAATCAATATTTCATTAGACAGACCAGAATACAGCAATGTCTGATCCAGAACTAGGACACGGAATAGGCACCAGAGGACTTGGGTTGTAACAAAAGGCAACACAGCATCAGAAAGGAAGTGATCAAGGCATAGAGTTGGGACAGTAGGAGTTGCTTTGCTGGCAAAAGCACAGGCTCCTTTCAGCAAATGACTTAACATGTCACTTCTCATCCACATACCGGTTGTCATCTGAACCATGAGAGAAGGCTGGAGCTAACACAAGCTCAAAAATAGCTGTGCTATCTTCTGGAGTCACCCTTCCTCTCTTGCTCTGCTGTACCTGACAGAAATTTCCATCCACTCAGCTTAGACAGTTTACATAAATGTTCAGGATGAGAAAATTCCACTCTGATCCAACATACACTATGGACAGGTCTGTTTATTCCTTTCCTCTAACACAGAACAAAAGGTAGAATTTTATTCATGAGTGCAAATGCTTTAGGTAGCAAACCCACACATGTTGCTTGAAGAAGAGTTCAGTCACAAAAACCTCAGCAGGGGCATCTAAAGGAATTGCCCCTGGCAGAGAAGAAGGTAGGCATGGACTGAAAGCAGAATCCTTTTGGGGTGGAATGGCCTGAAAAAGCTGGGGATGATCTCTATTTAATTCCACTTCACAGATATTCAGTAGATCTCAGCAGACACCTACCAGAGAAACAGCAAACTCAGCCTAAAATGCAGCTAACATAATAAGGAATATGGGTCAAATTTGGTGACTAATTTAATTAAAAACAAGAAAGAGCAATGCAGAAAAAAGAGGTTTTTAATTTTCACATTCTCAAACCCAAATATTTTGACTTTTCATGTCAAAACAGTATTTTCATGTTTAAATTTGGCTTTCTTCCCCCAGAAAGCTACAGAAGTTTAAAAAGAGGTTTAGTGATCCAATTTTACTTTGGTTTGATTTATGGCTGAAGTAAAACATCATTTTTTTTGCTTCTGAAATTTTAATCTCAGGTCTGGCACATGGTCTTCCATCCATCACCAGTGGGGATAAGGGATATCCACCTATACCCATTTTATGCTTTTGGGGTTTAGGGTTCTTTCTCCCTTTCTCACTCATAGAAAATGCTGATCTTAAGTCTCTGACAAAAATGGTTTCTGTTGATACAGCTGAACATTAATCATTTTGGACACAATCTCAGATAGTCCCTAAGATATTACTGAAACAATACACTTTGCCATTCCAGGAGGGAAGCACCACATGGGTAAATAAAGTAGATATCAGTCCATTAGTAAAGAAATAATGCAATAGATTTTAACACGGTTTTGTGCATTTAACAATCTTGTTTTGTCTTCAGCTTTCTAAGCAGTACTAGGAGATATTTTTCATGTCTATTTCTTCTGACAAAATTTCACAGTGTCCTGAAAAACGATTTGGTGCATGCTTGAGGAATTTTCTTGTCTAGTCTGAGAAAGCCATGTGATGCAGTAACATTTTAACATCTCCGTACAGAGCTGATTCTTAGTTCTTGGGCACTTTCTAGGGGTTAGTACGTAAATGAGTTGTCTGAACATTTGTTTTTTTGCAGCCATCTGATATTATTTAGAGGTCAAAGGTCAGATATTTAAGGTCCCTTGTGTAGGTGAAGAAACATGAGAAATCTCAGCACTAATGAACATTTTCAGTTAGATCCCTAGATTTCAGCTCTTTACTGTGGTGTGAAGGGATGGTAATGGAGTCTGTGGAGCTTTACTGTTGATTTCAAGGGGATTAGAAATCTCCTTCATATAATCCATTACTTTAGCTTTTTGTCATCATATATTTGCATCACCTCAACTGAAGCACACGCATATACATTGGTTTCTTTCCTTTATAGCTGAATTTCATAATTAAACATCTCAGCTAACTGTTTTTGAACATACATGTGCAGAAAAAGGTTTCACATGTTAAATTGTACAGGTTATGTTGAACTGCTGCTGGGCGTTTGCTGAAGGTAAACTTCATGGCATTCTATGCATGGGTGTTTATGGTCTAAGTACACCAGGCCCCAGATCCAACTTGGAAACCTTGGTAATCTTAGATAGCAAATAAAAGCATAGTGTTTATGGAGGAAGAGGAGTATGTCTATATATACATAAATATATACATATATGTTTATATGCATTGCTATGTGTGTATAATGTGGGTATGTGATATGATTTCCCAGAAAATTAAAGCTACAGTGAGGTTTCTATATCCTATCACATAAAATAAATAACCGGTGCCAATAGTTAAAGTGGAAGAGTGTCTTTTATGGCAGAAAGCCTGAGTTTTTATTCCAAACATGTTAGCGGCTATCATGAAAAAAAATCCTTACTCAGTATTAGTACTTACTTTATATGCTGTTCTGAGCTGTGATCAGCCTATTTCAGCTCTGCCTATTCTACAAACAGAGGAAGGGTTGCTGCAGATTAAATGTGCCGTCGAAGTAAGGCACAAGTAGACAAACGTGCTTTGCCTTTCCTTCTAAACTCCTAGAGTGAGGATTTCTGACTGACAAATGAAACCAGTGGTGTTATATCTCTCCTGAAGCAGTACATTTGAGATAAATCAGCCTCAACTAAAAATAAGTGAGGACTTCAGATTATATAGAACCTTTTTACTGTTTTGTGAATAACTTGAAATTGTATCATTTATTCAATGAATCTGGCCCATCGTGGGTTTCACTGTGAGCATTTTATACAGAAATCTCTTGAAACTGTGGAAAAGGCTTAAAAAATTAGGTGGATGATGGCTGTGATTGCTAGTAGGTAATTAATAATTTGAAAATGAGAGTAACTGTTATTCATGCAATGAAATATGGACTCCAGAGCTTTACTTCAGGCATCCGTCTTTAACATCCCTCTGGCACTTGTTTGTTTGGTTTATTGAAGCAATCAAATCACCAAGAGTTTGAAGTAATTTGAAGTGAGCTCTGTGTATAATTTAAAGGAGATATGAATCATAATATACATAAAACCCAACTAACTTAAAAACTACAGTAAGCATTATTAATACAGTCAGTTTTTGAAGGCTGTTTATTAAGGAAAGTAAACTTATGATGTTGCCTAGAGAAAAGTTTAATTATGCACAGGAAATCTGCAGCCTGGTCTAATTAATATTGACTAATCAACCTCTCTTTCTCTTTCACATGCAGGAAAATATAAACATCAATGAAGCTTCCAGATGCCTGGTGAAACACATAATTGCTAGTGAGAGTGATCCAGTTCAGTCTATTGAACCAGATATTATAAAACCACACTTGAATTCCTCCAAGATTGTCAGTTGTTCAGCTTGCTTCAAATCCTAAGAGACTTCCAGATTATCAAAAGATCTGAAAAACTATGATTCACAATTTCTACTTTGTCCAATGTACCCAGCCTGCCCACATTGTCCATCAGCAGATTGCCATTTTCTCAAGAATATCCTTAAATTTTTCCACAATTTTTTGACAGCTAAAATGTATTAAGTTCATTGATAGTAACTGTTCAAGACTGTCCTTGGCTATTGCTCAAATAAGACTCATGGTGATGGTGTGTTTTCCTGGTGGGATAGCACCACCGGTGATATCAAAACCTATTACTTTGCAATGTGGTTTCTGAAAGCTTTGTGATGTGACTACAGCAATACCCTACTTGTCCATTGGTGTTCCAGCCTGCCTTCTTAGTACACTGACAAGGCAACCATCATCATTGCACTGTTTTGTCACACATCAGGCTTCAATGATCTTGTTTCATATGAGGAAGATGACGATAATGAAAATATAGCTGTTCAGAAAGAGGTAACAAGAAGGTAACAAAACTGAACATGAAGCAACCTTCCACGTCATTCAGTTCTCCAGAAGGTCTCAGCTCCTGAGATTGATGCAGTACTTGCTCCCTCTTTCTGAAGAGTTAAATTCTCATAGTTGTTAGCATTGTTTTCAGATGAAGCAAAATGGAACAAGTCAAGGGTGAGGGGTGACAAGACAAGGAATCAGGGGTACAGCCTCAAAGGTGAAGCAGCTAAGAATCTTCAGAAAGGTTATCTATTCTATAAAGCCAGTAATTCCTCTGAAAAGTACTCATTCATTTTGTTCCTACCTCTCCATCCTTAATGCCACAGATGTCCCAGTGTGGTTGAACTATGCGTATACTCTAAGCCCCTGCATGCATCCCTCCATTATGGTGATTCTCATGGAAAAATCCACTATCCACACTATAACGTAACAGCTGAACTTTTCAGGAATGCATCTGTGTTTAATAGCAGGGTATCTGCTTTCTGAGAACATTTCTTCTAGAACACTCAATTGTATGAATGATTGCAGGAAGTAAAATTAAATGGTCCTAATAACCACTCCTGGAATACGTGCAGAATTTGTTGAGCTGCTCTGTGGAAATGAAGTGGTTGATATTCAGAATCCCACAAAATTTGCAGTCATTCAGACAAATGTGTCTAGACAAGAAGTCTTGATATCTGGCTCAAACCCCTGCAAGACAAACTTTGCCTGTCTCCTGGTGTAGACAAGTAACTTGCATTTTCTATTCCCACTCATCCTTTTACTTCCTAAGCTATGAACTCTCAGTGCCAGGAGCTGTCTTCTGAGATGGGCTTCTTTCCTTAAAGATGTGTAATGACATGGAGAGGAGGAGGCAGACATCCTGTGACATCCTGTGTTTGTGGACATCAGTGCAATCTTAACTGAACACTTAGTTGTCAATGGAGTGAAACTCTCAAAGGCTAGTGAATAGGTGTTGATTTAGAAATCCTCAAGCTGACCTTATCCTGTGAGACCTATTGTTTCTTGTGCCTCTGAAGCTCATCCTATTACTTGTCAGTGTTAGGTTTGTGGTTGGACTCAATGACCTTTAAGGTCTTTTCCAGCCTAAATTATTTGATGATACTATCACTGAATGAGCTTTTACTACATAGGCACTGCAGAGGACAGCCAGGGACACAGACATCATGTGCTAAGCCTTAAACTGGTTATTTTTTGCATGGAATTTTAGAGTAAGAAAGCAAGGTCTGTGGTTTTAAAAATAAAAATCCACATCCGGAATCAATCTGTGCACACACGTAGATGTAAGGGTCTATATATATCATGAGCTGGCTTTCTTCAAGGAGAGTAATTTTCAAGTTGTTTTGATCGTGGTGTTACCCCTTTACACTTGTGTTAAACATCCTTTAACTCCTGCTGTGAACTTGGTCAAATAACTTAACCTTTCTGCCTCAGTTTCCTCATCTGGAAAATAGGGATTGATGTACACACCTACCTCACAGCACTCCTTGAAAGTTACTGTTGGCACCATGCTTTGAAGATATATGTTATACAAATGCCAAGCTCTGTTACTGCTCAGAATGAAATATGAGTGCCCTCTAGCATAAATACATGGTGCTGTAATGACTTAATGTTCTAAATCTATCCAGGGCTTGTCTGTGCTGCAACAATTAGCTTCAATTATTCCACCTCAGTTAACCTAGTCAAGGTTGTAAAGCAACGTGTGACTGCATGGAATGATTAGATTAGCTGCAGACGGCTGGAAACAGAAACCGGCTGTGCAGATGTCATACTACTAGTTTAATAATCTCAGCAATAAAGCCGCAATACAGAACTAGTGCCAGACCAGCTAGTTCAAGTTTAAAGCATTACTTAAGTTGTATGGATGCCTTATTAAGGATAACACTTGATTCATACCTTGAGCCAACACTGTTGGGAACACATCACCTAGGTATTCAGATGGCTTCTAAAGGGATGAGTTTTCATGAGTTGAACCCCATGCTTTTCTGATGCCTCAAGTGAAGCAGAGGAAGTTGTCATTTCTCCCCAAAATTATTTTGTGCTCAACTTGCAACAAACATAGCAGTTGCTAGTGTGTTTCAGTTATCTTCAGATCACTTGTCTTTGGTGGCTTCTAACCAATATTCATTAAGCCCAATGGTAACTTCCTCAAATGTTTGAGAGCTATAGCTAAAGGTCTGGTATAGCAGTAACTAAAGAAACTCACAGATATAAAACACTTCAAGGACACACAGACCTTTGTTTTTCAGTGTATTGTATAAGCGTACTTTAAACTATGGACTCATCATCTGTTTCCCTTTTTTTCTGTGTCAAGTTTTACTGCAGTCACAATTCTTGCGCAGGTTTTCCCGTCTGGTAGATAGTGGAAAGAATTTGGCCAATTTCTGGGCTAAAGACTAAACAAGGTATCTATTCTAAACTCACACATATTTACACCATGAGAATTAGAACAACATCATGAAGAATCAGGCTTCCTTAGAAAGGTACATAATTCTAAATGTTCATTTTTATTTGCACTGAAGAGATAAGATCTGTTAAGTCTCTTTCTGTAATGCAATAAATGTGTGAATGCCACCTGGGTATCTAGCAAACACAGCCTTTTTAGAAGGGGTCGTCATAGGCAGGTCAGAATAAAAGCATTAATTTAGAATTAATGAGCTCAGTTTGTGCCAATACCCTTTGAGAAACAAATGGAAAATTTAGTTATACTGTGTTAGTCTCTAACAGGTTTGATTTCCTTGGTTTTATATTGATGTGTTATGTTCTCTTTGCTGGTCATTAGGGACCAGGCATTTTGATTGCATGGCCATTTAAAAATGAAACATATACCCATTCTGTTTGCAATAATTAATAAAAGACATGAAGCTATCACCTTCTAAGTGAGGAAAGATAGTGCAAAGTGGATTTAAAATTCATTCTCATTCTAGTTCTCCATAAACACCCCTCTGGGTGTCCCAGCACCTAGAACCACAAGTGAGGTGTGGGGCATGAGGGATGAGCCCAAATGACTCATGAAAAATGGTGGTTGAGCATTTCCACCCCATGGCTTCATTTACCAGCTCAGCCACAACACCAGGAATGACAGGATGACGTTTTCCATCTTCAAAGCTCCATACAAACAAAATCTCATGACTATAAATGTCTTGGAGTGAAAAGTAAATATTACTTTTTTATTCCAGAAGGATCATAATTTATTTGACCAAGTTGAGCTGTCAAGAGAAAGCCATTTGGATTCTGAAAATCTGGCTTTCTTCTTCTTATGCATCAGCTTTTTAGATCATATATTTTCATTAAACTTTTCTATTCAGGAATAGTTGTTCCCAGCAGTACCTTGTGTATGCAGCTTGAATTGTACATCAGTATTTTATCTTCAGACTTTCTTCTGTAGCTTCCATTTTAACCTACCTGACCATATAAAAGGGGAGGGAGGGAAGGAGAAGGTACATGTTTAAATAGAAGTTTTGTTTTACTTCTTAAAACACTCGGTCTAGACGAATAAAGTGAAATTGGTAAATATATGTGGAAATGCAATCGTATGTCAATTGCCAGGAAACGATCAATGAAAATATATTATACCACACCAATATTTATGCATGTGACCGCAGGCTCTATTGTAATAAAAGATGACATTTCTGGCAAGACATGGAATATGAGTGTTTTGTAAAATTAATTCATTACCAAAGGAAGCACACACAAGTAGCCACAAGCTAATTTATCTTTAATCAGATGTAGCCAATCTCTCGTATATGTATTAATAGCTTCATTTAAGCTGTTTACTTTAGTTCAACCTCTCTTTTAAACCATCCAGATTACTGTTAACATTGATTAAATGATTACCAGTCTAAGACAGAAACTTTCCACCTTTTCTTCCTTCATTATCCTGTTTGATACTGCAGTTCCAGACACTACTTTTATGGCTCCAGCTCTTCAAAGAACCCTGGTTCAAAGTCTGGTTGCACAGGTAGAATTTGTGGCTCACAGGTAGATGCATCATCAGTTTGGGGTTCTTTATTAACCAACACTCCATTCTCAGAAGTCTGGATGGGTAATAAATGGCCTACATTTGTTAAACAGGCAGCTGCATATCTAGGATATAGAAACATTTAACTTCATCTGTCAGGGCAAGCTGGTACCTGCAGCAATGTTACACACTTGACCTTCCCTGATTCCTTAGAAATATTAGATTGTTTTATTAATTAAAAGAAGAGGAGGTGCTTACCTGTGGTGTGAGTCTAGTATTTATTATACAGCTCTTACCTTTTCTGCAGCAACATCAACAAATCTAACATTCTGGTTTCAACCTGACATTCTCACACCCTATGGTGGAAGGTGCTGCAAGACCCACAGTCAAACCCCCAGCATTTAGTACCACTGTTACAGCACTCGTAACAAAGAAATATCTTTGACTGCTCAATTTGGGAACACTCATTTCCTGAAAATCATCTCCTTTGCAGTTGCAGTGCATCAGCTGCCTAATTAGGACTGGGATATCCTTGTTTTATGTTTCAAATGCAGTAATAATAGTTTACAAAGATAAGATACTAAACTGAGCAAAGCCGCAGCACGCGACTCCCCAGGGTGGTAGCTAAGCAAATGAAAATCTCCTGGTAGACTTTCTCTGCATGTCAACAATGGAGAAAGTTGTCCTAGCCTGATATTTGCCTGGTTTCTTCCAGGAAATGAGCTTTCAGTTAAGCCATAGTAGCTCAATTCCACAGCAACTGGCAGTATTTGAACCTGGCATCTATGGAATTGAAATAGCTTTAAAAGACAAGCTAGTTTCTTTCAGGGATTTCATCTTTGTTAAGGGTGCCTAAATATTTTCTCAGGTATATAGAAGGTAATTCTGGGTATCTAGCTCCCATGCTAATCTATCCATGTGTCTTCTGTTTTTGTGAATTCATGCTTTTGGCTTTCACAGACCCTGCAAGGAAAGGGCCACTACAAGATATTCCTTTAGCAGAGATGTTCAGCCATATCCAAAGGAGATCGACACAGTGAATGGAGAGGCAAGGAATGCAGCCAGGGTCATGGTGGACAGAAGCATCTGGGACTAGCCCAAGACCAATTCAGGAACCACTCAAGAGCACTGAAAGGTGCTCCACAAGTTCCTCAGTAAGATGCAGAAATTGCTTAGTGAAAATCTGACAGTGTTAAGCTTTTATCACTTTAGAGGTCTATGAATTTTCTAAGGCACAAAGAACTATTTCTTTACTCTGTGTGCCTTGAAATCTGCTTCTTTTCTGGTTACCTTGCCAAAAATCATAGCTTCTTTTAGGAATTCTCTCTTTTTTGGCCATTGGTACCATCTCATCCCCTTGTCTTGACACGCTGGTGAGGAGCCTTTACTGGAGTCATTAAAACTGAGGCTGTCATGGTTTAACCACAGCCAGCAACTAAGCACTACAGACCCACTTGCTCACTCCCTGCCCCAGCAGGATAAGGGAAAGTCTTGGAAGGATAAAAATTACGAAACTCACGGGTTGAGGCAAGAACAGTTTAATAATTGAAATAATAGTAATAATATTAGTAATAATAATAATAACAATAATAGTAAAATAACAAAGAAAAAACTAATAAATCCCAAGAAAGACAAATAAGGCAAATGAAAACAATTGCTCACTAACAACCGAACAACACCCAGTCACACATCCAAAACATAGCATTATACCAGCTCTTAAGGAAGGAATAAAATTTACCCTAGTCAAAACTAGCATGGTGATTATCTAGATCTTGCCTCCAAGTATCAACCTGCATTAGCATTTCTGATCACCAATGACAGCCGATAATGCTGCAACACGTGGCTGATAAAGACAATAGACACTTTAAACCACCCATAAAAGACTGCAGGCAAAGCATAAACAGTCGTAAACCTGATGGAAGCAAAAAAGTAAAGTTTCCCAAAGGCAGCTGCACCTGGAAGTCTGTGGCTGTTGCTGGGCAATATACTGGTAATGGATATTTAAGGCACCACATGAGCTGGGTTAGCATGTCAGTTCCACCCTGGGGATTTTAACTCTGAGAGGAGAACCCTGTTAACACACCTAAGGGTGATGTAGAGGTTGGAAAATACAGCACTCAGCCAGAATGGGGATGGAAGCATCATTATTAGGTATATATGGTGCTTTTTTATGAATTTCTTCCATTTTCCCTGACAAAAGCAATATATTGACAAA